GCCCTAAAAGGATTAGGAAAGAGTTCTCACCACCTTGTGGGCTCTAGTCAGTAGTCAGAAGGATTTCCGCCCCTGCTACACAGAGCTCGGTCAGAGCCCGGATGCGCCGCCATGCCTACTCATTTAGCAAATATAACAATTTATTCACCAACCTGTCTGACACTAACCTATTAGAGTTAAGCCAATGCCACAGTCTGACGGAGAAACGAGCCGCTATCTTGTGCACAGAAGTCAGAACGACCGTGTTTTGCGCAGCTTACCACAGTTGCGTTGATGTTGACACACTTGTAGGCTAAGCTAGGCTAAGCTAGGCTAACTTTAGCTCGAGCGAAGAAGGGGGAGCGCGGTGACAGTCCGGCCCGGAGGCGGGGTGAACTGAACCGCGCCAGGCGAGAGTCGCTTATTTTGATGGTGACTACACTGTTGACTGCGCACGCTGGTAGGTAGGTAGGTGACCATCTGGGAGGTAGTATCACTTAAACGAGTTTCACATTTTTTATTTTTTATTTTGCAAGGGCTCAGGCAAAATCATATCGCTGTAGATAATCGACTGGTTGTCTGAGACCGCTGTGAGACTGGAGCATAGCTGAACATTTCCTCGACGTTTGTGTTCTGGCCCACGATACAGAAGCTAGGAGCTAAGTGTGCTAACAGGATAACTTCAACACGGACTCCCAAACTTTTCATGTTAGTAGCCCTTTAGGAAACACGCTTTATGACAATATTTCTAAAATATGTAATCCTGCAGATTCTCTGTATGTACAAATAAGACTATTGCTATAAATTGACTTTTACGTTTGGAAATGGCACTGGAATCTAATATAAAATATGTGACCACAAAGAACAGGCTAAATATTACCCCATTTGGGTTACACCGTGATTTAATTTAGCACTTATTTACTGCTGGGTCATGTTACTGACATGCAACCTGCAGGTGCTGAAAACGGATTAAATTGCTTATGTTTTTTTTTTTATTTTGTAGTGTAATCAGTTAAATTTAAAGTATATGATTTGCACATTTTATATCTTAATCGGTATATAAAAATATGCAACTTAACTAAAACTTTATAAACAAAATATGTTGTTTTCTTGTCATGTAAAGGTTTAATAAAACATAATCTCTACCATATTTGAACGTAATCTAAGTTGATTATTTTAACTTTTTTGTAATAACTTGTCCTATTACAAAATAGTTTGCTTTTAAACCTTGATCCTTGCAATAGTTGAGAAGGACAAAACCCCATCTGATAAGGTCCGCAAAGGTCTGATTGTATTTAACATTTGTTTTTTTTTTTGTGTGTGTGTGTGTGTGTGTGTCTTTATTTGCAGACCCAGAAAATCTTCAATGTGTTTCTTTGTTCTGGAACTTTAAGCAGATGTCAGTCGATGAGAAAGTTACAAAAGCTGGCAGTCCCCAGGCTAGCTCAGCATCACCTCTGCAGCTCTCAGATGTTTATAGTGGTGTGTCTGTGACGATGGAGGAAGCGGCAGCGACCCCTGACTTTACAGCTGCTTGTCCTGTCCCGGACACTGCAGCCTCACCAAAACACACCAGCACAGATAGCGCTGGTCAGAAAGCCAGAGGGAGTGAAAACAACATCAATCGAAGGAACAGCTTCCAGCAGCCTAAACAACAACAACAACCAAAACTAACAAAGCGACGCTACACAGCTAATTATAGTTTCAAACATCCGTCTTCTGGAAAGAGGAGACGGAGAGCCAACTCTGAGAGTGACTCTGTCCTGCCGACTAACTTCCTTCTGGGAGGCAACATTTTTGACCCGCTAAATCTCAACAGCCTGTTGGATGAAGAGGTCAACAAAGCACTCAATGCAGAGACGCCAAAGTCCTCGCCGTTGCCAGCCAAGAGTCGAGACCCCGTTGAGATTCTCATTCCCAGAGACATCACAGATCCCCTGAACCTGAACAGTGAGATAGCTCACAGCAGCTTTATGGTGTCCCCCTTTAAAAGCGGTGGAAGGAAGAGACACAGAAACAGACATCACGGAGGTGGGGGAGGAGCCGGAACCGGCGTCGCAACATCACAGATKAACTTCTCCGAATCAGAAAAATGCGAGGTCAAAACTAGCACCTCTGCACAGCTTCCAGGTATGCCTGGTCCATGCTCTGCACAAGACAACTCCAAAGAGTCCAACAGTACTGTGAGTGTCTCAGGAGAGTCCCACAATCACACGACTGATCACTCAGCCAGCTGCAAAGATGAGGTTGCATCTGTGTCCATGGAGGAGACCACTTCCCAGTCAGCAGGGCCAAACCAACACGCAAGCAGACGCAAGAGAAGGCGCAACTCTGGTAAAATGGAACTCCCCGTCAGCCATTCTACTCCCTCTAGTAAGTTAGGACATGGAGATAGAAACTGTGGCTCATGGGGACAAAAGAATTCTTTCCACACACCAAGAAGTGGTCCCAAAGGTGTCCCGGGAGTTCGTCARCAACAGCAGCCCCACAATAAGGCAAAGGAGCATCAAAAGAAGTTCCAGTATGGGAACTACAACAAGTATTACGGATACCGCAACCCAGGCAGCAGCGAAGACCCTCGTATACATGTGCTCTGTCAAGAGTGGTTTGAAGGTAAAGATGTGCTGGACCTGGGCTGCAACTCAGGCCACCTAACCCTTTATATTGCCAAAATGTTCAGACCTTCGCGCATATTGGGCCTGGATATAGACAGCGGCCTGATACATGCAGCTCGTAAGAACATCAGRCATTACCTTTCTGAGCTGCAGACCCAGGAGGCCAGGCGTGCAGTGCAAGAGAAAAAGACTGCTAAACAGGTGGAGAAGAGTGGAAACGAGTGCCAGGGAGGTGCAAAAAAGGAACTCGGTGAAGCTGAGAGCAGGGCTGAAAATGGGAAAGCAGAGGAGGGACAGAGTGGCCCTGCAGAGGCTGTAAATGATAAYGACTCCAGTAACACAAACGAGAAAGGGACGGATAGTAAAACAGATGAAATGGAGCAAAAAGAGGATGCTGCACCTGCTGCTGCTGACTGCTCTGCAGGTTGCTTCTTTCCGGTGTCCCTGCGGATCTCCAGAGGGCCCATCGCTGCACCCCCATTACCAGAAACCTGTAAAGCTCAGCCTGGGGAGTTCCCYGCTAATGTGTCCTTCATAAAGGTAAGACAGTGCTCTGAATCCTTTACAGTTTCATCACTTTGCTCTAGTCTTGTTTTTTTTTTTAAATTAATCAATGTTTGTATTGTTTCTGCATGCTTTACCAGAACAAGTGCGACTGTAACATTTACTGGGGGTGGTGCTTTGATGCACCATTCAGCTTATCTGAACAAACAAAAGCAGGGAAATGCTATAAAAGTTAATATGTAAATACCAGCTATAAACAAAGTTAATATTGTTAAAACATTAAAGATTTTAACTGTATCGAAGTTGTGTCAAAGGAACAGATTTCAATGAAATTATTAATTATGTGTCTTTAACAGAAAATTATGTTATTCATCATCTGTTTGCTCATATTTTATTACAGTTCTCCACTTAACTTTTMTGATTCAACTCATACAGATAAGAAACAAATGGATTCCATGACCTCTTTACYTTTTAAAGGTCTGGTAATTTGTTACTCTGTTGGACATTTTGCTTATTTGATAKAATTGTGATTGTGTCTGTCTTATCACAATTATTATTTCTATAAAAGCTGGGGTGAAACCAAAAGAAAAGTCGTATTTCCTCAGAAGTTTGACTATTCAGTAGATCTGACTCATTGACATTGTGTCTTTGTTTTGCTTTGGACATTACGTATCTGTCATGAGCAATGTTGGTTTCTAAATTCAAAAAGCAAAAAAACACATTCCATGAATGTCAAACATTTTGCAATCCTGTCAGCTCACTCTAATAACTCAACAGCATTTTCCATTGTCAACATCAAGTCAGAGAGTATCTTAAGGAACTGGCGTTTTACCCCTCCAGTGAAAATCCTCAGATTTCTTCARTCAGTGTAGTGTTTCTTGCCTCGGYATGTGGTTGTTAGCCAGTAGATAGGCCGGTGCATGAAAATACAAGAATTGCCTTCTCATTTACTACCTCAAAAGTATCAGTTACCTCTGCCAAACTTTCATGTTTCAAGTGTCGTTTTATACTCAGCATAATAAAAGTATAAAAAGAAGCTTCACTTGTCTAGATCTGTGTCTTAAGTGGAAATTTAATCATCTTAAATGCCTGGAAAAATAAAGCTGCTGCATATTCTAGTTCTTTATTTGACAGAGCAGTTTATCATTTTTTTATTTACCAGATGGCAGGAGGTTAAAAGCTTATTAGAGGGTTTGAGGAGGATCTCTGGTAATTACTGAGGGCTTTCTTTATGCTTTTCTCCTCAAAAACGCTTCTAAAGAGGGACGTGAGACCCCGATAACGTTCTCAGTCATTACAGGGTCTTATTGTCAGTTATACAGTAGTTTCTGTACAAAGATGTGATGCATATTGTTGGATGTTCTCAATACTTCCCTGTTGGAAAGTGGTGAGAATGCCTCCTGGAGTGTGGTGGTTTTTCTGCATTTTTCCTTAAGTCCACAATATCGACTGTTCAGTTTGTTGRCATTACTGAAGATTATTGTACTCGCACAACGTCAGGAGCTGTTCCTTTATGGTTGAGTCGGGTTTTCCTCTGAATTATTGCCAGCATATTCTTTTTTTTTTGTTGTTGTTGTTTTGTTTTTTCCAGGGTAACTCCACTGACACTATCTTGAGTTTGAAGCAGATCGGCTCTCTAATCTGAAGCTGTTATTGGTGTTAAACTAAACAACAGAAGCCGTTTTTTTTCCTCCGTGTTGTGTAGCTGTAAGCATTTCTTATGACAACAGTTAAAACACAAGTTGGACAGTGTCTCAGGAAGTACATAATTGATTTATATAATGTATATGCATTTTTAATGCGTTTAGTACATTGGCATTGTGCCTAAAATATTTATTTGATTCACATCATTTGCGAGTCAAATATTACAGCAGTGAGACAAAAACAAAGATACAAAACAAAACTAATCCCCAATGTATTTGACAAGTATTTTCAACTTTATTTGTAGATTAATTMTTTAAATAGAGAATGAAATATAGGACATTTTAATAGATGTACTTCCTTTGATCTTTTCTTTTTCTTACCTCAAATCCTGAAGGTTTTACTCTGATCATGTYCCAGTTTTTCCACTTCACCTCGGCTCTTTCTTTTTTATTAGGCCAATTATGTTCTGGACAGCGATAACCTTATTTTGACTCAGCGGCCAGAGTATGACGTGATCCTGTGCCTCAGCGTGACCAAGTGGGTTCACCTGAACTGGGGAGACTGTGGCCTGAAGCGGCTCTTTAAGAGAGCCTACAGACATCTCCGTCCTGGAGGCATGTTCATCCTGGAGCCGCAGCCCTGGGAGTCCTATGTGAAGAGGAAGAAGCTGACGGTAAGAATTTAATAATGTTAACCTAAAGCTGGGTTTTTTGGTGATAAAAAGTAACCTTTTGCATTTGTTTTCACCTAATAGGAGAACATTAACAGGAACTTCCGCAGCATACGACTCAGACCTGATCAGTTTTCATCCTATCTCACACTTGAGGTGGGCTTCACCAGTTTTGAGCACCTTGGTTCCCCCAAGTGTTCAGTAAGAGGTAACAAAATACAATCTACAGCTTTTTTTCACAAGTTATTTTTAATTTTCACCTTTAAGACATTAATTTGTCTTATTTTTCTCGTTACTGCAGGTTTTCAAAGGCCAATCTATGTTTTTCACAAATGACCACCCGAGCCTTGAACACCAATGAATGTGAGTAGCCTAAACCGCCACCATTCTCTCAAACCAGCTGGCTGTACTGGACTGCAGTGAGTCATCTCTAACAGTTACCTTAGCTCTGGATGCTGAAGATGAAAACACACAGAAAAGAAGAATGGGGACCAAAAGTGGGATTATTTCTATAAAACAAGATTTGTCAACAGGAGGCATTAATCAGAATTTGTTGGGACTATAAAAAACTTTTAAAATCTATGGAATTAACTTGGATAAAACTTTGTAGAGCTGGGGAGAAGAAAAACAGTTTGTGTTRGGCCATTCTGTGGAAGGTGCACTCATCTGATAAGTTCCTTGAACTCGGTGTGTTAAAGATCCCCCAGCCCACTCATAAAATGTGTTGAGAGGTCTTTGGCCACATGTCATTATATTCTCATACATCACATCACCACTCATTCTACCCAAAGAGTCAAAGCAGTGGAGTACCTGCTGTGTAAGATGTGTTTTCACATATGCAAAACTTTGATGCTAGCCCATTATAWCCAAAATCTTGAAAAGCCACATGTGTTTTATTGTGTTGAGCACAGTGCAAGTTACTGGTAAACTAAATAATTACACACTTGCATCATATTTTTGGCCTTGAACCTTGTTGCAATGAGCGTATAAATGAATTCACACACGGTGGTTTAAAAACAGCTAAAGGCTATCAGCTATGAAGTCATAACAGATAACTGGCTCACCTTTTTTTTAACCCCGGTATGGTGGTGTGTGCTATTTTTTTTCTCAATTGTACATTTTGCAAAACAGCTATATTAATTTCAAGTTGTTAGAAAGCTTTTAAAATAAACACCAGRCTACACTGTACAGATTGTGACCTTAACAAATGAAAGTCTCAAGCGACGAACCGTTACATTAACTAAATACATAAAAGTCCTGGTGTTTATTTATTTTTTTTTTAGCTGTTCAGCTGGAAGTTATCCTAATGCTCCCTGGGTGAGGACTAAGGAGGAAGGCACATCCTGGATTGATCACCAGTTAAAACCCAGCTTCGTCTTATCATAAAACATTAAATTTAGCCATTTCACTATAGAGACATTATTTAAATTCTCCACATCCTGGGTTTATAGTATTGTTTGGCTTTTCTGATTGCAACCCGCTAACAGACTTTTTGAACTCTCCAGTTGCTAATGGATTTTAAAAAGTCACTTAAAAGTTTATTAAATATYTAAATTAATTAATTTGAAATCCAGTCACTTTTTGGTTCCAGTTCAACTTTAGCCATACTTTATTTTTTGTACAATGTCTTCTGTGAGCTGCAGATGGAACAGAGATTTGAGCTGAAAATTAGAGGTGGTGGTGATGATGATGTATMTGACGATGCTGCAGCACCTTCGGTGTGTTTTATGTGGTCTCTAGTAGGAATGAAAATAAAATGGCAAAAATGTTTTTAGCTGAACAATTGACATTTGTGAAAATCAGCTGTTGCTTCAGTGAATACATAATACCCCATATGTTTTAATTGTTTTGACATGCTGCCAAAAGATTTCTCAACAGGTTTTTTGTTTTGTTTTGACCCAGTAAGGACAGTAACGAGCTACAGGTTGATTTTTATTGTTGTTCGCTGAGCACCACTCAACTCCAAACTATCATCTTCACTGACCCGGACAGAAAAAAAAAATTCTCATTTTTGTGGCATGTTTAGTTTAAACTTTTGCCGTGGATTGGCAGAAAATGATGGCTAAGGTGGATATGTTTCTGTTTCAGTAAGTCATAGATGTAAATAAGTTTTCAGATCTTGTTTTGCTGTTAATATTTAGTTCATAATTGGTTCTTTTTTCTGTCTTTTCCTCTGTTTTCAAATGTTTGCTGCCAATTTAAAAAGACTTACAGCTTTTTTGTCTTTAAACTGATTGATAATTYAGCTTTGTATTTACAAATGAATGTGTATGTTCTTTTGTTTTTTGCTTTGTCCTGGAGAGCACATTGATTGTTAAATTAGTTCTTTGTTTTAATTTTTTTATATAAATTGTTTGAAAGGAGTGTTTGTGTCTGTGCACTCTTATTTCCATTTATTTGAGTGTGAAGACATTGTCATTTTAGCATTCTAAAAAATAATGTACTTATCAGTGAATAAACACAAACTAAATAAACATTGAGGTGAATTAACCTGTTAGACAGAGCGTAAAAGATAAAAAATAAAAACACAACATAACGCAAAAATGTTTTAATAACTCCAAGTCAAAGGGCATGATTTTCAAATATTTTGGAGATCATATAATTCAAGGTTGATTGAGCAAAACCAAGCTACTTTTCAAGGAGGTGAGCTTAGATTAATGTGCTAAACATGAAGGGCTCAATTTTTACATTATTCCAAAGTTATATATCAAACCATCATCTTGAATCAGCACTTCAACAGTTTATGAAATTAGGTTTTTGCCTTTAAATAACTACGTTGTAAAAGTAACAGGAAGTCAACATGACCTATTTTTTTAAACAGGATCCGTTTTTGTACCCGTGTCCTGTCCAGGTTGGTGAGGGGCTGGTTGCCTTTCTCCAGCAGTCAGCAGAGGTGAGATGGGAAGGAAATGGCCAGGATTTCTGCGTTCATAACTCATGAAATGTAGTGACGTGTGCATCTGGGTCACATTAGTCCAACACGAGCTGACTTCTTAAAGCACAAGCAGTTCTTAAAGCACAAGCAGTTAGCTGTAAAACTGGACAAAGTTTAGCTCTGCTAAAAACCTTAGAAAAACTCAGGTTTTCTGCATTGCTTATATAGGACAGTTATTGTTCACAGTATTTGCTCTTCTGAAGAAAGCTTGATTCATGTGAGTAATGCCTTTTTAAAAGGTTGTAGCTGGAAGAAGCTGCAAAACCATTTAAGACCTGACTTCATTATTCATTAGTTCAACCTTTCACAAATGAAAGAAACCGGAGACTGTTCTCTCGGTTGGTGGGTGCATCCTGTGAAGTGCATCAAATACCCCTACTTGTCTACTTTGTCTGAAGCCCATCTGCAACACATCTATGTACTGTACATCTACTGATAAAGATGCACAAAATACTGAAATATGCATCTTTTAGTAAAATAGTTTCAATCAAACTTAACATATCTGAGATTAAAACCACAGCTAAATGTTTTTCTTTTTGTTGTGCATAAACCTTTTTTTTTCATCCAAATCTCATCTTTTCTAACTATAATGAAAGTTTAGCTTATGAAGTGAGAAGCTTGGCAAAACTGAAATTTTATTCCCCACGTCGTGCCAGAAACATTTGGTTGTGAAGCTCCAACTTTTGATTGGAGCAAAAATGACTACCACCACACCACATTTTAGCTCAATATCTGTAAAATGACGAATTAAAGCAGATTTCACTCTTGCTAAAGTTGATTAGCTGTGAACAGTTTTCATTTTGTTAAAAAACACTCAAAAAATTTATTTTGATGTATGGCATTAAATTGCTTCAACAAATAAAAATAAAATTTCTGATGTTCGGATTTATTTATTTATTTATTTTTGCCTCAGACAGATTGCCACTGATTGATACCTTTAAAAAAATAATGAAAATTAAAGAAGTACGAATAAAACCACAAAGCCTAAAGTTCCCCCATCAAAGTCATTTGGCTGTAGGCACACAGTGTGACAATGAATTTGCTTTGCAGTTGTGGCCGGTGCATTGTCAGGTGGTCCAGACAGAACAGTGGAACAACATAAACACAGACAAGAGACATAACACTTCAGTCACAAAAGCTGCGCTCCATCGCAGCTATCTGGGTCAGTCACTTGACCGTCATTGTCTCGTGTCAGTTCAGCACTGGGCGAAAAGCATACCAGACTCCGCACCAAACTGTTATTCCAAGCAAAGTGGGCTACTGAGTGTTGTACGTGCTTTAAATATTCAGTTCAAACAAATGTACTTTTATTTCAATGTGTTTATTGGCAGCACAGCAATTCAGATTACTATCTGTGTCTAATGTGTTATACTGAACTGGAGCTAAAAGAAAATCTGTTTAACTGCAGAAGCACTCAGTAGTTAGGGACCAGGACTGGTGACAGGAAGTCTGTCAGCGGTTCATCCACAGCGAAAACCAGGGTCCCAGAAACCTGCACTGAATGTGTCAGAGCTTCTTGGTGCTCGAACTCCATGCAGGCATCATTAAACGATGAGCTGAGGGCTAAGACCGCACGGCACAGCACCTGAAAATCAGTGGAGTCCAATCTGAGTTACCATACATCATTTTATATATTCGGTGTGGCTGCGATGTTGTGAACGGTCTACGGGGATATAATTTGACGGTCTACCTGTATCTTCGAGGGCAACCATGGTGGCCGACGATATACTCCTGGGCATAGCAGAACCGTCTGCAGAGTCCTCTATACCCACAGGTCCAGTACTGCACCTCTGGTTCCTTTTCTGGAGATAAAGACGAAAAAGAAGAACCATAAATTCCTCTTCCTCTGGTCCTGATAAGTAATGATCAGATAACTTTTAGAGACGGCAAAGGTTTTCTTTAAAAAAAATTCTGAACGTCTGATCCTACCGCAAGCTCACTACTATAGCTCGCTAAAATATTAGACAGGGTGTCTCCTGTGTGTGATCGATGATGATAGGCCACTGCAGATGAGTCACGTTTATCACTGTCCCCGTGTGAAGGGGTTCTGGTCTTAAATGTTTTACACATTGTCTAATTTTACTGGAGGTATTGCTCCTACTTCATTTATTCTCCTGCTAAAAAAGACCAAACAGCATTCACAAATGACCAGGAAGGTAAAACTGCTAAATAGGAAATCTGCAGCTCCACCTACATATTCACACTGGATTAGAGAGGACCTTTATTTTCTAAAATTGTAAAAAACAAAAATCAGACTTATTATTTTTTTTTCTTTGTTAAAGTTATATATTAATGCTTAATATAAACATTAGACTCGGATCAAGTTGATTAAAGATGGCAGAACAGTTCTCTTCTAAATGATCTAAAGGGTGCGGTCTCACAAAAATCCAACAAAATACACACATCCGTTGCTTACCCTCGCCAGCTGCGAGCATCAGGAGAAGCACGAGGAGAACCAAGCTGAGTCCCTTCATCTTTGGGGTTCCAATTATCTTTCAGACACTGCCGCTGACAGACAGATGCTGCATTTATACAGCATTTCAAGCGCGGTGGGAGGAGTTCACCGTGGTCTGTCACAGAAAAGTTTTTGGTAAAAAGTGGGTGCCAGAGGGGTGGAGGTCAAACCTGTCAGCTTTCTCGGTCGCTCAACAACTATACGGCCTCTTAAGATTTTTCAAAAGTTCGTTGTCATTTTTTTATTAAAACAAAAATATAATCAWAAAGAACAGTTGTCTGGTACTTACTGTTACACCCGTGCAGCTTGTTAGAAAAATAGTGAAAAGGAAATTACAGATAAAGTCTTATCTGTTTCATGTGTCCTGTTGTGTTTTCGAGGCAGCCTTCTGCTTGTCCACGTTTGAACATCTGAACCTGGGTTATTGCTGATGCTGTGAAACACTCTCACTGCACAAAACAAGCTGCCCCGGTGACGTGTGGAAGGATTGTTAACAAAACAGTAAAAAGGTGTGAACACACACACACACACACACACACACACATCTACATGTAAAGCATGCCCCCTGGTGCAGACGCATTCATGTTTAGTTTATTCTTTGTGCTCAGAAACATTTTTTTTACATAAAAATGGTATGACTAAGAGGAGCTGTAGTAATACAGATTTTCTCTGTGTCACTATAAAGACAGATTTAATATCACCTTACCGCTGAAGATCTCTAACATGTTTTATCTTAAGAAATAATTTGATAATGGCAAATCTAAAACTATAGTAAAAAGAAAAAAAATTGAAATAATAATTATTTTCACCTTATTTTTTGTAGATTCCAGAAAAAATAATACATAGGGTTTTCTAAAATCTTTATATAAACATGGTTTTGTGCAAAACCTTTTGACCCGTCCTTCTTTTTTATGACATTTTAGTTCCAGTAAATTAGACTTTTGTGTAATCTTTTATAAGTAGTCTTGATTATTGTTTCTTTAGACTTTCTAAAGGTCTTTTAACATAAAAAAATAGTTTTTTTACTCATTTTAAGCCCACTGATGAATAATACTTGGTTAAACAACTTTAACCGATACAGAAGAGGATACGGGCCACTGAAAAATTAAAAAAAAGATAATTCTGACTTTAATCTCAGAATTCTGATTTTTTTTTCTCAGAAAAATTTTCAGAATTCTGAGATTAAAGTCAGATTTATTCATTTATTTATTCAGTGGCCCTAATTCTCTTCCGTAAATCTATTTGTTATGAAAATCAATAAAAAAATAAAATAAACCAAGCTAATAAAAACAACTGATAATTTAGCAATGCTCTGTGGCACACTCACCAGTAGCCTGTCACAAAAAACTTAATTTGTTTTCATTTATGTTAAATGTATGAAAAAAATATAATAATCCCACACATGAAATTTTGTATTTAGACTAAGTGGCCACAAACAAGCAAACTAATAAAACTAATTATTTAATATTATTGTTGTAAACTATTTCTCTGACATTGTTTTGGTTCTTAGTGCAGTAGCAGCAGTTTAACTTAAGGGGCAGAAGAGCGTTTAAAATATTTTTAGTTTTTCCACCAGAGAAGAAGAAGCAGCTCGTTTGCGCATGCGCAGCACCGTCAGGTTGGCTATCATTCCAAGATGGCGGACCTTCTAGGCTCTATCTTAAATTCGATGGAGAAACCTCCTACTGTCGGCGACCAAGAAAGCCGACGAAAGGCACGAGGTACAAAACATCTTATTTAAACAAAGGCGCGTGTTACGTTTTCATATTTTTGTTAAATTAACCATTTTTCGAGGATTAAATGTAGGTAACCTACATATTTAAAAGGACAAGTGGATAGGGCGTTTCATTGGCCAGCTCAGTTTTCACGTAAGGATTTGGTACCGCCTCTGTAAAAAGTCCTGCTCCCTCATGTGTTTTAAAAAGTCTCCCACAGAACCACATGCAGCTCGTGTTACACAGACATACCAGCAGCAGCCAGTAAACAAACAGCAAAGTGTTTATTTCTGTTTCATTTCTATTACGTCACGTCTAAATATAATGCTGTTCCCTCCCAGTTAGGTTTACATTCCCCCCCTCACAGCATGTATTTGTTGTGAGAAAACACTGCTGTCCTGTAAAGCAATGGCTGTGTGTGTTGGATAAGCGAAGGTTAATAAAAGAACAAATAATAACTGATGGGTTTAATAAAAAATATTAAAATACCTTAAATTTATTTTCTTACACAGAACCAGGCCATCATAACTTGTAATCTTGATCAATAGTTCTGTGTGCTTTCTGGAAGTCTTTTTATAAATAGCAGCTGTATAAGTATACATTTTAATACAATGCTATTTATTTGTTATATGCATCATAATTTAAGGCTTGGGTCTTATATTTAAATATGGCTTTCCAGGATTAGAACAAGTTTGATTTTTGATCAGCCTGAACTTGATCRACAAGCAGGCTGACAGATGCCTAATGTCCTATTTACTGCGTATCCTTTAAGGTTATTTAAAGGGAGAAGAAGAAAAACTGTTATAAAAACGGTCTTTTTTTTCCCTAAAGAGCAAGCTGCAAGACTTAAGAAGATGGAAGAACTGGAGAAAAGAAAGAAAGCAGAGTTTAGAAAGAAGGTGAGAGGTTGCAGATAGTCCACGTTGTTCTGATGCGACACTCTTTGTCCTTTTAAACTCTGTTGGTGTTTATCTCTGTCACATCCAGATGGAAAAGGAGGTGTCTGATTTCATCCAGGACAGTTCCCAGCAAAAACGAAAATACAATCCAATGGGGAAGATTGAAAGAAGTATTTTGTAAGCAAATGACTTTAGTTCAGAAAATCGAGTCTTTYTCGCCACACTGCCGTTTAATCTCAACCTGCCTCTCCTTACAGACATGATGTAGCAGAAGTGGCCGGTCTGACCTCTTTTTCCTTCGGAGAGGATGAGGAGAGCCGCTATGTTATGTTGTTTAAAAAGGTATTTTAGTCCGGCAATAAGCAGAGAAACGTCTCGCGATGAAACTGGTGACTTGTTGATCGTGGTTGGGTGTGACTGTTTACCTTCCTTGTGTTACGGCAGGAGTTCGCCCCGTCAGACGAAGAGTTGGAAGCTTATCGCAAAGGAGAACAGTGGGATCCCAAAGTAGCAGAACAGAGACGCAGACAAAAGGTAAAACTGAAGGACACCTTTTTAGTTTGTATTAAATTAGCTGTCAGTCATTTTTGTTGGGGTTTATTCTCATTCTTGTCACCACAGTGATGGTAGCACTTTTATATTTTTATAAGGGGGTTGCATTCTACTTGAATTGCATTATATTTAAATAAATATGGTAATTATAGTTTAATGTGGTGAAGGGGGACATGGCAGACTCTGCTGATACAGAATATTCCTTCTCTTCACCTTGGGAAACCCTGACACTGTTTTTATATTATCTTCAGGGTCGTTGTCCTCCTGTCAAGTAGCGTCTCATCAGCTCGGACTGTTAGGTTGAATTTGATGAGTCGGCATGTTGTGCATTTTTTAGGATTCATTTTTATTAAACACAAGCAGTGCAGCTGCTTCACATTCATTTTTTTTTTCATTTACATTTCCTTCTTTAGGAGTCTTCCCAAGCGTTTTCAGAATCTTTTTTCCCCTCATAATTCTGATTCAGTGGTTTACAAGAATGATTCCTAAACGTTTTAGCTTTTGAGTCACATAATAGCAGTAGCAGAGAACTCTGCCCAAAGCTAACATTGGTATCATGTCAAATAAACAAGGGCATAGCACCAATACAGTGGGGAGAACAAGTATTTGATACACTGTTGATTTTTCAGGTTTTCCCACTTGCAAAGCTTGTAGATGACTGTAATTTTTATCATAGGTACTCTTCAACTGTGAGTGATGGAATCTAAAACAAAAATCCAGAAAAATACAATGTATGATTTTTAAATAATTAATTTCCATTTTATTGTGTGAAATAAGTATTTGATCATCTATCAACCAGTAAGAATTTTGGCTCTCACAGACATGTTAGTTCTTCTTTAAGAAGCCCTCCTGTTCTCCACTCATTACCTGTATTAACTGCACCTGTTTGAACTCGTTACCTGTATAAAAGACACCTGTCCACACACTCAATCAATCAGACTCCAGCATCTCCACAATGCCCAAGACCAGAGAGCTGTGTAAGGACATCAGGGATAAAATTGTAGACCTGCACAAGGCTGGGATGGGCTACAGGACAATAGGCAAGCAGCTTGGTGAGAAGGCAACAACAGTTGGTGCAATTATTAGAAAATGGAAGAAATACAAAATAACAGAAAATCTCCCTCGGTCTGGGGCGCCATGCAAGATCTCACCTCGTGGAGCATCATTGATCTTGAGGAAGGTGAGGAATGAGCCCAGAACTACACGGCAATGACCTGAATAGAGCTGGGACCACAGTCTCAAAGAAAACAATCAGTAACACTCTACGCCGTCAAGGATTAAAATCCTGCAGTGCACGCAAGGTGCCCTTCCTCAAGCCAACGCATGTCAAAGCCCGTCTGATGTTTGCAAATGACCATCTGAATGATCCAGAGGAGGAATGGGAGAAGGTCATGTGGTCTGATGAGACAAAAATAGAACCTTTTGGTTTAAACTCCACTCATCATGTTTGGAGGAAGAAGAATGATGAGTACAACCCCAAGATCACCATCCCAACTGTGAAGTATGGCGGTGGAAACATCATTCTTTGGGGATGCTTTTCTGCAAAGGGGACAGGACGACTGCACCATATTGTGGGAAGGATGGATGGGGCCATGTATCGTGAGATTTTGGCCAACAACCTCCTTCCCTCAGTAAGAGCACTGAGGATGGGTTGTGGCTGGGTCTTCCAGCATGATAACGACCCAAAACACACAGCCAGGGCAACTAAAGAGTGGCTCCGTAGGAAACATCTTAAGGTCCTGGAGTGGCCTAGCCAGTCTCCAGACCTGAATCCAATAGAAAATCTTTGGAGGGAGCTTAAAGTCCGTGTGGCCCAGCGACAGCCCCGAAACCTGAGGGCTCTGGAGGAGATCTGTATGGAGGAGTGGGCCAAAATCCCTGCTGCAGTGTGTGCAAACCTGGTCAAGAACTAAAGGAAACGTCTGATCTCTGTAATTGCAAACAAAGGTTTCTGTACCAAATATTAAGTTTCATTTTTCTGGTGTATCAAATACTTATTTCACACAATAAAATGGAAATTAATTATTTAAAAATCATACATTGTATTTTTCTGGATTTTTGTTTTAGATTCCATCACTCACAGTTGAAGAGTACTTATGATAAAAATTACAGTCTTCTACAAGCTTTGCAAGTGGGAAAACCTGAAAAATCAACAGTGCATCAAATACTTGTTCTCCCCACTGTATTCATTATGCTACTTTCATCTATCCTATCTAACCACACTTGTAACAACTTAGGCAAAAAAAAGGTCTTAGTAGTCATTTTTAAATAGAGTTAATTCTAAAAATCTTTTCAAGATTGATGTTTGAGGTCCTGACCTCAACTTTGAAAACCATTAGTTTAAGATATAAAAAGATTTAAACCTAAATGTGATGGCTTTGGTACAAGCTAACCCCCTGTTTCCATTTTAAATGACACCATTGTGTGTATTTTTTCTTTGTCATCTCTACAGGAACAGGCTGCGTTGGCGGAAGCAGCTTCCGCTCAGACAGAAAAGACACAAGCGTGTCCCAACTCCAACTACAGAGACAAATACAGCCACCTGATTGGCACCTCGGCCGCTAAGGACGCAGCTCACACGCTGGAGGCCAACAGGACGTACGGCTGTGGTGAGTGCGCCGCCGAAACGCAGATTGATTTTCCTTTCAAGCGTTCTTTCATTCACACTGCGGCAATGCTCCGTCCTCAGTGCCGGTGGCCAACAAGCGGGACACTCGCTCCATAGAGGAAGCCATGAATGAAATCAGAGCGAAGAAACGACAGCGGCGAGAGGACGACACGGGCGCACAGAGCGGCGGCGGCGGCAGTTCTTGAGTCTCCTCTGGCTTTGCGTCGTATGCTGCTGCGTGTGAGCCCGTCGCTCCGTCGTCTTCATCGTTCAACGCTCTGCTTCTCATATTTAACTTATAGGCTGGCAGGCCTTTAACCTGTGGAATCAAACTGTGATCTGAAGTCTTTATTCAGCCGAGGGCGCTCAGGTGTGTCAGATTCCAGGAGGTCCGTTTTTTTTTTGTTTGTTTGTTGAACGTTTGCCTGTGGTGATAATTTTTGAGTCTTTCACACACAGKTTTGGACCATAACTGTATATCTAAGTGGTTTTAAAGTTTCAGGGTGTTCCACCCTTTTAAAGCTTTTTATTTTCAGAAATCACCATTTGGATCAAAGCATATATTTACAATTTTAATAATTCTAAAGAAATGCTTTCTCATTAACACGAAGGCCTGTCTGCATCCGTTTGTAACACAGGAAATCCTTTTAAAGTCCAGGTTTTAGCTCCAGCTGAAAAGTCTGACTGACAGCGTTCCAGACGTCCCAAGAAACTAAAACGCTGCAACGTCACCAACTTCCTTTCCTTCAGTTGCTTCAAATTGCATTTTGCACCTTTGCAAACCTAAAAGCATGTTCGTAGGAAAAACAGATTTTAATAAATAATAACTTTAATTTTGAAATCAAGATTAAATTTGCTTTGATGTGAAGTTGTGTTTTAGTAGCATTGATGTCTTTTATTTGTCTGTTTATATTTGAAGCCATGTGACGCTTGTTAAAGACGTCATACAACTAATATGGAGTAAAGATGTTTTTCTTTTTTTTAGTAAATTGTCTTCTGTTGGTTTTGTTTTCATTTGTTTCTATTTCAACATAATTTGTACCGTTTTATTTCTATGTTAATAAACAAGATTAGGATTAAGTCTGCCTGTGTGTTTCTGTACGCTAAAGCAATTTGTTTGGCTTATTCTCCCTCAGAGAGCAGTTCAATTTGACCACAAACAGCAGCAATTTGTCTAAATTTGATATTATTTTTCCCTGTTTTAGGTCTTTAGACTTTTTTTTTTACACGCAATAACGTAGGTGAGAAAATTATATTTTTACCCATCCAAATATTTGCTTTGATTAAACACTGAACTGTTGTAAACATTTGTTTAATTGTTTTTGCCTCCAGTTAATCCTAAAACAAATCAAGCACAGCTGTGATGTTTTATTTCTTTGGTGGTTGCAGGCATAATGATCCTTTTAAATCTGAACTTTAAAAACAAAAAGTGCAGTCAAAGTGTAGTTTTGTTGTCAGAAAATAGCTGCATTCAAATGGTCAGATGTGGCTCGTCTTTCGATTAAATAACATTTTAATGTGACAGGAAGTCCTGACAGATGAGTCCAAGTCTTCCATTTAGTCCTGGAGCCTGAAGGCCTCTGTCAATCAAAACCTGGCTCAACCTGATGGGCCCTCAGTTTGTTTATGTATTTATTGATTTATTTTCTGTCTGCTGGAGATGCAGATAACTTGTGTCGTCATCCAGATCACTGACCTGATTTTGCTTCTGGGCTTCYCCTTTCTGAAACTTGACTCCTGCAGCAGCAAAGTTTCTGCTTCTTCCCTCTCAGATCAGGTCTGTTTATTTCAAACCGTGACTCCCTGTGAAACAGATCATTTCCAGCATTGAAGAAATGATGAGGAGTTTATTCTCATTCTTATTAGGATTTTTTGAAAGTAAATCAGATGTTACCCAAAAACATAAAAACACTTAAATGTTTCACAAAGTATAAGACATTTAAAGTGCCTTTGTTGACATTTTGCAACTTCTTTAATTTTGAGTTTAAATTTGAGTATTTTGTGGATTCAGCAGTTCCTATGTAAAACCTATTTCCATCTTTTACTTCTGTCATCACTGTTTGTCTCCTGAAGAAGGCGCCATAGATTAACCAAGACAAAAATTGCATTTTTTAATTTTTTTCCCTTTTTTTTTTGACACTGTCCTGCTGTTATGCTTTTTTTCTCCATGCAGATGCGCATATTTTATTGCGCACAGAAGAGCCAGTCACGCACATGTGGAAAAAATGAATAAATAAATATACRATGAAGGACTGCACTGTTTTGTTCTTTTCCATCCTTCTTTGGTTTGGATCTGTGGCGCTGAAACCCCGCAAAGGTAAGAGTCTGCGAGCCTTCGGATGGCTTCGTTTCTCCTGTTTTACTTTGCGGAGCTTTAAAATGAAGTTTGGCGCACGTCTTGAGATGAACTCCGCAGTTGATTTTACGTTTTTGGTTTGAAGTTTTAAGGTTTATTTTCCTCTCCCAGCTGTTTCTGAAGCAGCATGAAAGTTTGATGATGTTCGGGAGGTTTTAGCTCTCACGATTGCAGGAAAGCGCGCAGACCTTTTTGCGTCTCGGTGCAGTTTGCGCAACAGCTCTCCACGTTGGAGCTCAGGTAAATACAGTTTCATCATGTTTGACTCTTAGGCGGGGTGGTTTGTACCTTTAAAAACAAAACTTACAGCCCAGGAGACAGCTGGCATCCCTACCTGGAGCCGTTTGGATACATGTTCTGCATGCGCTGCGTCTGCGCAGAGGTATCCAAAAACTTTCCATATGATTCCTGTTTTATTTCTCTCTCTTTTGGATAAAGTACTGACACTAACCCCTCTCAGACAGGCCATGTGAGATGTAACCCAATCAAGTGTCCTGCCCTGCCTTGTGAGAACCCRGTGACTGACCCTCAGCGGTGCTGTCCGCGATGCGCAGGTTAGTTTTGGACCGTCTGCAGCTTTTACGCACGGAGACAGACCTCACATACCTGTCCCCGTCGTCCTCCTGTCTCATGTGTCTCAGCTGAGCCCAGGGTTCCCGCAGGACTGAGAGCCTCAGCCAAGTTCTGCACGCACAATGGAAGCATTTATCAGCCCGGAGAGACCTTCACTAAACACAACCTGTTCCCGTCCAAACAGAGCAACCAGTGCGCCATGTGCAAATGTATTGTAAGTAGCAGCTTATTATGAGGATTTCTTTTTAATTTTTTTTCAGTCATGTAGTTTTTTACGTTCTGAAAAAATAACAGGAATTTTAAAAAATGGAAAGAGTAATCTGTCGAAATCTGAAATTTCAGATTTTGCATAACAAACAAACGTAAGAATTGTACTTTTGCACTGAAACTGATTTATTTTTCTGCCATTTGATTTTCTTGAAAATGTGTGCAATATTTGTCCAATATGCGCTAGATGCAGTTCTATGTTGTTTCAATTGGAAATTGTTTTTACATTTTTGCTCTTAAACATCAGCTGCCTAAAACAATTTAGGTTTCTAATGTTCAATAAAAAGAAGTATGTTAAAAAAAAACCAAAATAAATCCACAACTAAATTTGATAAACTGATTTTCATGAGGAAACCTGATGTGAGGAGTTAAAAAAAGAAAATGATGCATCAAAACCACAAACTCTTATAATTATATTTCATTTGTTGTATTTTTTGTTATGTGTTGTTTATGTCACAGAAGAATAAAAATTGCTTTTTTAAATATGATTACAGTATTTTGCAAGAAAATATTTTAACGTCTTGTTTTTCTTTATTTTTCCAATTTTCTTTTTGTCTTTTTCCCAGAATGGAAACATCTTCTGTGCGCTGAAAACATGCCAGCCCCTCACTTGTTCCTCCCCAGTTTCTGTTCCAGATACCTGCTGTTTGCTTTGTAAAGGTAGTCCAAGTCGTCCTGCAGAAAAATAATGATGCCTTTTATTCAGTTTCAATTGTGGAATAATAAAAAGTTTTTAAATGAGCGATAAGGCTCATCTACAGTAATAATAATAA